ACATTAGCATTCACCGACCAAGATATTGGGCATTAAGGAGAGATGTGAATGCCTGATATTGTAAAGAAGTCCTTTTTCATTATTTGTTCATGGGATGTGGACATCACTGTGCCAGGCCTGCATTTATTGCCCAGTTAAGAGTCTTTCACATTTTTTGGGTCTGGGGTGACATTTAGGCTAGACTAGGTAAGGATGGCAGAATTCTTCCCTTGAAGAACACAAGTGAACAAGGTGATGTTTTACAGCAATTGGCAGTAGTTATGTGGTTACCATTATTGTCCAGATTATTTTAAAATTGTAATTAAATTCAAATTTCACCACCCTCCGTAGTGGGATTTGACCCCATGTCCCCAGACATTAGCGGGGAGCATGAATGAATATCCCAGTGACATTACCACTATAGGACCACCTCTCCATTTAGAGGCTATGTACAAATTTTCTTTAACTCTTTCATCTGATGCAGCTGCCCATGGCCAGGTCAGCATTTATGTCCCATCCCTGATTGCCCTTGAAAGGGTCAAATTGCCTTTTTGAACACTCCAGTCCGAGACCAAGGGATGTCGGCGCATAATGCTGTTAGGAAGAGAATTCTAAGATTTTGATCCACAACAGTGAAAGAACAGCAATACAATTCCAGGATTGTGTGTGGCCTTGCTGGGAAAATTGCAAGTGGTGGCATCCCCATTCATCTCTTGACCTGGTCCTTCTAAGTGGTTGAGGTCATGAATTTGGTTAGTGCTGTTGAAGGAATTCCACAGTACTGCAATAAAATAGTTTTGGATGGGGGGAGATGGGGAAGGAAGAAGGTAGTGTGAATCATAGACTAGTTGAGTCCAATGACATTTTTGTGTGCTGTACCTCATTCAACTTAAAATGGATAGGGTAGTCAGGGCTTGCAAGGGTAATTTGGATGACCAGTAAGGTCAAGAGAAGAGAAACATTCTAGAAAACCTCTGTATAACTGGCTTGGGAAGCAAGGAAAAGTTCAGAACACAATGCCAGTCTTCTGAAACCTGCAGCCCTTGAGGGATACAGGAAATACAAAGATGGGTGGTCTCCCAATAGCAGCAATGCTAAGAACAGTCTAGGATACAGCAGCCAATTTACCTTCATAACCTGCAAACCAATGCATGGTTAATTCATCATGATCATCAATAGTTATCAATGGATATGGGGAGACAGCGGGAGCATGGTATTGAAGTGGAGGACAGACATGATCACACTGAATGGTGGAGTCGGCTGGCTGGGCCAAATGGTCTACTCCTGCTCCTAGTTTCTACGTTTCCAGTAAAAGCTTATTCTGTGTAGAGAGAGATGGTAATGGATGCTAGTCACTCAAGGCTGAGAGAAATACAGACACTACACTGGTATAAAGGGATTTTGTTTAAGGGATGTTCATGTGTGAACATATATGACAGATTTATTTGCATGTGAGGAGCTGCATGGAGTCAATGGCATGGGGTGGGGATGGCACTGGAGAAGAGAAAAAGGATTGAATGGCATGGAAGGAGAGGGAAGAACAGATTGGATGATTTGCAAGTGTTCTGTGGCTCTCTGTTAATTTATTTCTTTATTCAGTTAGAGGAGTTTGAAGCTGGGAAGCTGTATGTCACTGTTTGGTAAACTTCGACCTTTTTATTTGCACTGCAAGCTGCACAGAAGGCAGGGTGCAGGCCAGAATGGAAGGAGGTCTCAGGTACAACTAGCTCTTGGCTCATTCTTTGCAATATGGTGACCCCAGCATGACTTGCGAAAGGAAAGTCAAAGTTGTTGGGAATGATGACTCCAGGGGGAGGTGTTCCCCAAGATCAACTCAAACACAATTTTATAAATACACTGCAGTGCAAGGAGTGCTTGATGATTGTTTTCTTTGAGACAGCATTTTGAAGTACACTCCCTTCTGTATCTGTAGGACTTTAAGAACATTCTGACACTGTAGACTGTGGCTGCAGAAAGGTATTATTTCGACTCCCACAGCTTTACCAAATACCAACGTAATAAAACCCATCCCTTGAAGCTTTTGAACTTAAGAAGATATGACCAGTGTGACACAAGTGCTAGTGGCATCTGGAACATAGGCATTTGATGGCTGAACAATCAGCACAATCACTGTCCCTACTTCCTCAATGCCCAGTAATTCTAGGGAATTAATTTTCACAATGCAACATCGTTTTCCACCTCAAAATAAGGGGACCAAAACTGTGCAAGGAATTGAAGTCCTGACTGAATGGACACAGGACAGTTTTATTGCAGTTAATTGCATGTTTGAGCATTGAAACCAATTTCAATATCTGACCCCCTTTCCACTTTGGTTGCTGCTCTAATCACTCTAGGCACTCGCTATAAGCTGCTTCCATTCCTGCCTACTCTTTGCAGGCCAGTCAAAGTCTGATTTTGCATCACTAGATAGAGTCGCAAGAGTCATACAGCATGGAAACAGACCCTTTGGTCCAACTTGTCCATGCTGGCCATGTTCTCAAACCAATTAGGCTTGGCCCATATCTCTCCAAACATCCCTTATTCATGTACATATTTAAATGTCTTTCAAACGTTGTAACTGTACCCACATCCATTACTTTCTCTGGAAGTTCATTCCGCACATGAACCACTCTCAGTGTAAAGAAAGTTGCCTCTTGTGTCCTTTTTAAATCTTTCTCCCCTCACCTTAAAAATATGCCCCCTAGTTTTGAATACCCCCACCCTAGGAAAATACCCTTGTCATTCACCTTATCTGTGCCCCTCATGATTTTATAAACCTCAATAAGGTCACCCCTCAATCTCTTAGACTCTGGTCAAAAAAGTCCCAGTCTTTCCATTCTATTTTTATATCTTAAACCCTCATTCCCGACGACATCCTGCTAAATCTTTTCTGAACCCTCTCCAGTTTAATAATATCCTTCCTATAACAGGGTGACCAGAACTGCACATGGTGCTCCAGAAGAGACCTCACTAATGTCCAAAGGTGAACTGTGTATAAGAAGTGAATTTCACATTACATCTTTGAAATATGAGCAGGCCAACAGCAACAAAAAAAAACTCTTTGTCCCTGTGTTGATGCCATTAGCAGAGTGCATAATCAGCCAAACCGATGCTTTACATGAAAAACAACTCTTGATTTTACAGGGATTCTCATTAGTGGGGATTATTTGTATGCACTTGGCTCAGTGGGTGACACCTTTGCACCAGAATCAGAAGACTGTAGAGAAATATAACTCCCAGTCCAGGACTTGAGCACATCATCCAAGGTGAAGTGGCAGTGTAGTCTTCACAGAACACACACTTTTCTGTGTCTCATCTCTTAAACAAGATGTTGAGCTATTTACCTTTAAGTGGAGATAAAACTTTGTCGGTGTTTTTGTGAACAGCAGCATTCTCCTGGCCAACATTTCCCCTTCAAACAAATCACTAAAAGTTGACCTATTGGTCCTTATTTGATTTGCCGTTTGTTGAATCTCACTGGAGGCAAACTGGCAACCATGTTTGTCCCTGTATCACCAATCAGGAGAGGGTGGATTAGTCTTTCGTACCCGAGTTCTTCTGTGGCCTGTGACTCTTTGATTTCACCTCCAAACACAGCAGGAAAGATACTTTCTCAACGTGTGTGTAGGGATCTTACAGAGTGGAATGCCCAGTTAATGTAAAAAGTTCCTTTGGAATGGAAACTGAATATTTGTCCTAAGGTTGCTCAGCCCACAGGTAATGGAGTTAAAAGTCATCGCTAAAGAGTAGGACAGAGGGGAAACAGGATGAACAGTGGCTAGTCCACCCTGGTCAGGTCAGGATGGAGTGCATATTCGACAAAAAGGGGAACCACCCTAAGCTCTTCCATGGTGTCAAATCAGTGCCCAAAAATGGATCACAGATTTACATTCCAATTTATTTCACAACACGAGGTGTTTAACTTACAGATAGGCGAGAAGCTACTGGATTTCAGCTGGCCTCCAGGCACAGACGCTCTGACCACTGTGAGCACAGATCAAAGGCTGTTTCTCAGAGTGATCGGCCTGTGGACAATCCCCTTACCTTGTCCAGGGTTTTCTTCAGGGCAGATTGCTCCTTCTCGAGGCGGACCTTTGAACGTTGAAACTCCCGTTTCTCGTTCTCCAATTGGGCAACAGCTCTCTGTAAGTTGGTCACTCGCTCCTGGTAGATGTGTTTTTCTTGCTGAAGTTTCTCAATCTGTTTCAGGGCCCCTTTTTCACTTTCCTGCCACTGGCGCAGTGCCTGCGGGTACAGGAAAGGGAATTAGAACAATTGGTATCTCTGCTAAGTCACTGACCATATTCATATTAATTTAGACGGATACACTGTCAGTTCTGGTTTATTTTAATGTATGCTGCAATACATCAATAAGTAGAACTTCAAGCAGTATGATCCTGAAATGGGATGACTAGAGGAAAGAGAGTCAAATTAGCTCGTAAATTGGGCCTTATTCTATCTTTGTCCTCTGGGGGAAGGATGACCTTCATGTCTTATCTGAGAGAGATAGACTTGTTGGAAAACACCCAAGATCCTGGGCTGGATATGAAAGGCAACAATAGATATAGTTAGAGGAAATGTAGTAGAAAACTGAGCACTGGTTGATAACAGAATGGTATCTTCTGCAGTATTCCAACAGAATCCAGTCAAAACACAACAATCAGGTGCATTTGAGGCTGTATTTCAAGAACACAAGCCAGGTTCGAAGATAGCCATGATGTGGAGGTGCCGATGTTGGACTGGGGTGGACAAAGTCAGAAGTCACAAGGCACCAGGTTATAGTCCAACAGGTTTATTTAAAATCACAAGCTTTCAGAGCGCTGCTGCTCCTGGAGTCTTCACCTGAAGGATCAGCTCTCCGAAAGCTTCCGATTTTAAATAAACCGGATGGACTATAACCTGGAGTCGTGTGATTTCTGACCAGGTTTGAAGGGTCAGAGCTTTACCTGCTGCTTTCCATTGCTGTTCATTCCCAAAGGATTCCCTCAGATAGATGGACAGCACGGATTTGTAGGGCTGAATTTCACTAGCCCCACTGCTCCACCTCCCTGGCGGAGATGGGATGTGTAAAACAGTGGCGGTGGGGAGGTGTGGTGGAGATTGGGGTGCTGTGCCTGTTGTCTTCCTGTTGCCATGCCATTTGTCCAGTGCAGGAAAATGTGGCAGATACCATTCCCACCCAGAGGCCAACTGAGACCCAAGCCACCACTTCCCACCACCTTTGCATTTTTTTTTAGTGGTAATGGATGGCCCCCCGTTATGTGGTGAAAGCGTTTGTTAAACCGTGATGGCCTTCCAGCAGTGATTGCAATGAGGTCGACCTCATAGGATATGAGTTCCCTGATTGGAGCTGTTAATCTGGTCAGACCCAATTAGGGAGACCTGGCTGACATAAAAGGATGAGTGTCCTTGAAGCAGACACTCTAGTGACTGACTCCATTAGACGTGGTATTATTGTCAAAGACTGTGCAACTTGTAAATAAAGGGTGGTTGGTAACAGGACACTGGCCTTTATGAAGTTATTTCACTTTGCATATGATAAACAGACCTCTCTTCACGTCCTGCTTGGTCCTATCGAATTGCCACCTGTGCCCTGAATACCACTTAACAATTTGGGAGATAGTATTCCTTTTGTCTAATAAGCATCCCATGGGAAGACACTGTTCACATGACCTGTAGAAGGGTCCTTGTCCAAGTCACGGAAGTAGTAACACAGCAATATTCTTTTGATTTTGTTTTGAACTTGTTGCAGAGTTGTACAGCCAATCAAAGCCTGACTTTTCTCCAGGCTTGCTGCAGATAGGCTGAGCAGTGAACCTTGCCAGCCCCCAAGTGGATAGGTGGGAAGCAGTGAAAAGCTAAGCGGGGGCAACCATTTTGAACCTTCTCAGCACTGCAGCTTCATGGAAAAACGGAGAACTCAGCTCGGGAGAGATTGCAGCCAGAGGTGAGGTGAGAGATGGGGGATGGAACGGTGAAGCAAACCTATGTATGAATTCCGCCAACACTGATCTGAATATGTGCCATCCAACACCAGGTCGGTGTTATCTAAACACAACTCCTCAGCTTGGTGTCAATCTCCAGTCCTTTCTGCTGATCAGGACTTGAGGCCTAGTCTCGTCTTTCTCTAATTCTATTTCTTAACCAAAATAGCAAAAATAGATTTTATTCATTAGATCTGCTGATTGGCACTTTTTTTTTAATATAAATGACCATTTTTACTAATTACTCATTAATTTAAATTTGGAGTTGTTTTATTTTTGAAATTCACCTTTACTGTTGTGCCAAGCTGTGTCTTTTTGAAATTCGTTCACTGTACTCTTAAATAAGAGAAAAATTGAAAAAAAGAGGAGCCCATGTGAAAAGGTGGCCAAGTCTGTTTCAGTCTATTTGCTTCTTCCAGGTGTAGTCCCAACAGTAGCCACCATTCCCAATGGTACTGCTAAGAATGAACCATTAGCCCTCCAACTGGTTTACAGTCATTGATAGATAACCAGCAGGCCTGGTGTAGTGGTAATATCCCTGGACTAGTAATCCAAATGCCCAGGTTAATATTCTGGGGACCTGGGTTTAAATCCCACCATAATGATGAAATTTGAAGTCAATTAAAAAAAAAATCTAGAATTAAAAAGCTGGTCAATAGTGATTATGTACCCACTGTTAATTATTGTAAAAACCCATTTAGTTCACTAATGCCCACCCTTTTGGGAAGGATGTCTGTTTTCCTTACCTGGTTTGGCCTACATATGACTCCAGACCCATGGCAATATGGTTGACTCTCAAGTGCCCTCTGTGTAATTGGGAATGGGAAATAAATGTTGACCTAGCCAGTGAAGCCCATGTCCCACGAAATGAACCAAGAAAAGAACATCAGGATGCAGCCCTGGATCCCACAGACTGAAGTGGGGCGACCTGTTTTTAAGCCCCTCATTGGCCACCCGCCACCAAGAGAACAACATTAGTGCAATAGTGACAACAGAATTAATGAGGAAAAACTCAAATTCCAAGCTACTTAAAGTTGTCTCACTATTCCTGAAATCAAATTGTGGCAAAGGAATGGTCACAGTATATTGCAATATTCTGAGTTTCCGTTTTCTAAAAACTGGTGAATTTGTACTGGCACTCATTATGTTAGCTGAAGCTAATGGGATTCAGCTTCCTGCTTGTATCGGCAGTTGTTTCTTCCTTTGATGAGCTTTTTACATCCTTCAAAAATAACTCAGGAACACATTTTGCAGAAATCTGCCTCCCAGACCCCTCAATGGGTGACTGGTGTGGTAACCAGCTACAATAAAATAGTGTCTTTCCAGGTTTCGTGTCCAGAATGTGTTAGGTTTACTGGTCTCAGACGTTCATGTGCCAGTGTTCATGTTGTATGCTTTGACCTAAGAAGGGATGGGCTTGCTGGATGAACAAAACTCTGCCAGAATTCGTGCTCCTCAACAGAATTCAGTGTGTTTCTTGACAGTGCTGCACTCACTGCCCACCTTGCCAATTTCCAAGGCCATGAAGAGATACCCAAACAATCTTAGCACTCATACAATCAGATGCCAACCAGCCTGAACGGACATCATCAGGGAAGGAGAGCATGTAAACTGGACTAAATCCACAGACTGATCAGGAAAAGCAATCAATTTCTTGCTGTTTTATTTAGCAGTGCCACTTGTTCCTCAAATGGTGCTAAGAACCTAACTCTTGAAATGATACTTCTGCATCAGCACTGCCCCCTCAGTTTCTGTTGCCTACCTCCTGGAGTTGCCGGTTCTGTCCCTCCAGCTCCAAGCGCCTCAGCTCCAGATCTGCCTGTGCATTCTGCAAGAACTGCACACGTTCCACCAAAGCATGGTTCTTTTTCTTAGTTTCCGAGAATCCCTGATTGATGGTGTCCAGCCGCTCCTGTGACAAACACAAAAAAGCAAATCAACAACGTTCTTCAAAATCAGTGAAGTGCACGTGTAGAAAATTATGCTGTACCTACAGCACACATCCTGCATCTGACCTGGTCTGTTCTGGCGTTTGTGTACCACATGAGCCTAATTCTAACCTGATCAGGAGATCGTTTGATTTCTTTCTCCCTCTTGTGTTTATCTAGTTTTGTCTTGTACATGTCTGTGCTATTCACCTCGGTCATTCCTCGTGTTAGTGAGTTCCATGCTCTAGCCACTCACTGGGATTCTGCTGAATTCTTGATTTGAATTTTAGAGCTAAGAATCATTTCAACACCTTCAGATTGTGAGCTCACTCCCATTTCTTCCCTTTCTTTTAGCTTTACTTGTTGCATTCTCGGTCACCATGTCTTCTTCCCCGCCCCCCCACCAAAACCACCTCCCCCACCACCACCAACCCCAGTGGGACTGTCTGTTCTTTCCAGTCTGGCAGGTAGACACAACACTGTTCTGCCATTCTCACCTTCCGATCACTTAATCTGCATTATCAACACCCTTTCTCCCATGGCATTCCACCCTCACCCCCCACCATTGCATAATTGCTGCCCCTCCACACTTCACATCATCACTGATGAAGAGTTATCTAGATTTGAAACATTAGCTTGCTCTCTCTCCATGGATGTTGCCTGACCTGTCGTGATTTCCGGCATTTTTGTTTCCAGTACAGATTTCAGCATCTGCAGTAATTTGCTCCAACATTGTATATAAACTCCAAGAACTGTCTCACTATGGAAACATTTTTCCTGAGTTGACCTATTGAACCACTTCATAATTTTAAAGACTTCAAGCCTTCTCTCTTCTAGGTAAAAGACTCCTAAACTGTTCAATCTTTCAGAACACAACGGAGCAGGTAAATATTAGTAATTGCATCCATTACAGAGATCAAAACATTTATAGGCTTTCTTCTGATAGAAAATTCCAGGGCAACTAATCTAGTTTTACCATCAGCCATGATGGTGGTTCTGCCTAGTCTGCCTCATGCTCATTTGGCATCTCTGTGCTAGTAGAATAAAAATCTGCCACTCTGTGCTTTGCACTGCAGGACTTTTGGGAGAGGAAATTTCATGCATGGTTCCTGTTCCCAAATAAAGAATGCTGCTGCTTCAGAAGCGAGCTGGCTATTTCCCAGGCCCAATGGTTTAGGAATGGGGGTGGGCTTTAGCTTTAAATCATTTCGTCCACTTATTGGCATATAAGACAATTTCTACACCACTGTAACCATGGTATATGTCATGGTCATATCCACAGGAACCAACTGAGACATCCTGAGTAGATTCACTGCCACCAATCCTCTTTATTGCTATTAGTTTAAGTTATGATACCAAGTGGGGAAGAAACTATCAGCTTGATAATCAGAAAGTTTCATTGCATTCTGAAGTGTTAACTCTGCTTTCTCTCCAGAGATGTTGCCACATCCCTTGAACTTCTTCATCATCTGCAGTTGATTGTTTTTTCTTGGGTTCATTACATTTTTCTTAATAATTAGTGACATTATATCTGAGTTACAGTAAAATCCTTCATAAGACCTCAGGTTAGACTTATAGAGAAAATACACATTGCTGTGGGTACATGGCCTTAACACTAAAACAGCAATTGAAATATTGGTTATAAACACTGATTAGCTCCTCCTAGAATCGTTCCTTTACAGCATGATGGGTGGAGTTTCTTGCGATGTCAATTAACCCTTTCAGGTACTAACAGGGTGCAGTCAAGAGGACTTGAAATAGTTAGAGGTACCAAGAGTCTTATGAACTAACCCAAAAATCAAATATTCTGCATCTAGAATTTTTCACACTCCATCACCACCAATTATTTTACATCAAGCATCTTTGAACTGAAGCAATTCTGATCTTAAGTCACCTATATTTTAGGCATTCTACTACAATTATGGTAAAAATGTGACAGGGAGGCAATACATTTTTGATTACAGAATTTCCTCACAGTCTAAAGATTAGGTCTAATTTGATGTTATCAGTGATTGACAGCCCAACAGGCCAAACGTCCTCCCTGATTTGAGGTTTTAAATGGTGCTTTGTTTTTTCTCTCACTCAATTATCCCTTAATTAGAGATGTCATCATAGTCAAATCAATACTGGCACCTTGTACTAGAAACCGGCACTCATTAACCTGGAAATGATTAACTTGAAGGCAAGCTTTAATCTTCACTGACAGAGGAATCACATCTTTTCCATTGATGAGAAATTGACCCATCCATTGAGTAGAATCCAAACAGTATGGAAACAGGCTATTTAGGCTATCAAGCCCACATTGACCCTATGAAGAACAGCCCATCCAGACGCATCACCCTATCCTATCCCTGCACTTCCCGTGGCTGACATACTTAACCTATACATCCCTGAACACTATGGGCAATTTAGCACAGTTAATCCACTTAACTTGCTCATCTTTGGACTGTGGGAGGAAACTGGAGCACCCAGGGGAAACTCACACAGACACAGGGAGAATGTGCAAACTCCACACAGACAGTTGCCCGAGGGTGGAATTGAGCCCAGGTCCCTGGTGCCATGAGGCAGCAGTGCTAACCACTGAGCCACCATGCCGCCCAATTCCTACAAAAGCCCATCTTCCTGTGAAGACTGCACTTCGTTCCATTATACTCTCAAACAATTTGTTGGCTTGAATTTATGGCTTGTCCCTGGCCTCATAGCGCCAGGGATCCAGTTTTGATTCCACCCTCTGGGACTATGTCTGCATGGGTTTCCTGTGGGTCCTGTGGTTTCCTGCCACAGTCCAAGGATGTGCAGGTTTGTTGGACTGGCTATGGGAAATGCAGGGTTACAGAGATGGGGTAGACCTGAGTGGAATGCTCTTCGGAGGGTTGGTGTGGACACGATGGGCTGAATGGCCTGTTGTGGGGATTCTATGATAATGCTTTTAAGCCTGCCTTCTTTGAAGGCAGCAGAATTCACAAAGTGGCAGATGTGACAGTATACACAGCAGCTCTGATCATTGAACTAGATCTTGGACAAAAAAAAATGTGCTCCAGATTATAGTGGACATTAGGTCCTCTCTTAGCAGGAACCACTAACTGTAAACATGAAAGAATATCCACGACAAACCTGGAAAATTAGAATAATTGCTAAGACTGGATTTTACTCTCACCATACCATGCACCAAGAGAATCCAGTACCAAAGATGGATCATCAGGCACTAATACAATAACGGTGTGCTGGAAAAGATCTGTCCTGAGCCAAGAGTTTCCATTGTTGAACCATCATCAACCTCTATACTGTGTTGAGACTCCTTGGCAGTGTCAAAACCTTCTTGCAAAGTACCTTCTGCTAAATACAATACTGATGGAAAAGTTGGTGACTGATTTCCTGCGCACAATTAAACAATAGGGAGAGTGAAGATTATTTGACTAAGAGGTGGCAACTGCTTTCTAAACCAAGACAACCCCCAATCCCCCACCCCCACTCCCCCATCTTTCCACTTAGGCCCCCATTGCTGCTCTCCATTAAAAACTGTTAGGATTATGAAAACTCTCAGTATATTGGCCCTCCGCCAAAACAAACACACACAAAGAGCTCTCTCCTTGTCTGAGCAGAGATAACAGCAGCAGAGGAGTCATCCTCAGCTTTGCACAATGTCACAGACACCACATGGTCAGATTACTCCTGATGCTGTTGTCTATCCACATTTCAGGAGGCGCTCAGTATTGTTATTGCTATACTCCCTCCTCAACTTCTTATCCCTAACTACTTTGAAACAACTTTACCTTGCAGATTAACAACTAATTCCCAGTAAAATTAAGTCTGACAGTAGCTGTTTAGCATCTCTGTGCATGTACAAGTTGTGCACGAACCTGTGGAATTCACTCTCACCAGAAAGCTGTGGGACCAGTTCATTAGATACATTCAAGAGGGAGCTGGACGTGGCCCTTGCAGCTAAAGGGATCAAGGGGTATGGAGAGAAAGTGGGAGTGAGATACTGAAATTGCATGGTCAGCCATGATCATATTGAATGGTAGTGCAGGCTCGAAGGGCCGAATGGCCTACTCCTACACCTATTTTCCGTTGTTCTATGTGTAGGAATCTCAATACTTATTTCACTCCCGAAACTATGCCGAAATGAATCTCTAATTCATTTCCCTTCAAGCTTGGGCTGAAAGTAAAATGGTTAATTCTATCGCTTGAGACGTTTTCTATGTTCGGAACGTACACTGGGGCGGAGGAGTGTTGTAATAGAACATAAAACGAAAGAAGGTTGTGAAAGGGACAAAGTGAAAGATAAGTGATGGAGGCACAGAAACATTGAAGGACTGGAGATGGAGAGGTAGGCTCATTGAGGGATCAAATACAGAAGAATACATACACTGGGATGATAGAGAGAAATAGAAACACTCTTCGAACTGGAGGAATAGAGGTACTGAAAGATCATCATTAGAGGAATGGATCGTTGAAGACTGGGAGACAGATGGATAAGATTTAAACTTAAAATTTGGCACATCACAGAGAAGGAGTTCAAGTCTTGATGTAAGGGTTATCATTACAGATATTCTCCATTTGATGAGACCTCAATACGCTCAAATATTTCAAGTGCTCAGCACAAAACACTCAGGCTCAGGGAGTGCTGTGAGATTTTGCACAATGTTAGTTTTCTTCATGCGCAACACGTTCAGTGAAGGTTGTCCTGCGTCACGGGGGTAATTGGATGCAGCTGGCGTGTTACTGTGCTGATTTTCCCATTCCTTGCCTTTTGGGTCTTCCCTAAACTTGGAGCTCTGAATTTGGCTACCTGCCATTTCAAAATACCCAAGAAGAATTGGATTTTCTTTGGTGCTGGCACAGAGACACAATTAGTACCAGGAGCCTGAACACAAAGATGTTGCTAGAAAGAGGTTTTGTCTGTCCATTTGAGCATTACTGACAGGATCCACATGGGTAGCTGCCAAACAGGGGTAAGCTTGTTAACTGATGAACAAGACTG